ATAGTCTCCACTTAAGTAACTCGTTTACACTCTTCCCACCATAAATTCACTCACATCAATTAACTGAAACTCTTCTTGCTCATGTTATAAATGTTTCATAAAACAAACTCAAAGGTTTACTTTAATCATTTATCTTGCTGGACTTCTGAACACATGCTAGAATTGACTGCTATTTTGACAATTATCAATTGAATTATCTATTTTTGATAGCCTTCAAAATGTCAATGGCCTTCAATGTCTTGTCCCTGAATCCCCTTTCCTCTTATTTTTATATGCTTTCTCTGTATTGTCGTGTTAACGCCAATGACTTCTCCTATCAAATCTTTTTCTCAACCTCCGTCTTAAACCACAAAACTGTATTTATTACTACTTCGTGAACCTACTGGATAGCCTCCAAATTCTTTATCATAATGCGTTCAAAATGAACTCATGTTACTCACAAGGGCTAAAATCTGTTCCATGTCTTTTATTCTGTTTCAGTATCAAACATACATCCTAAAGGCCAAAACATTGTCATTTCATAATCAGTCACGCAGTCTTACAAGCTAAAACACTTCTGGTTATTGCTTCTCTATGTCCCAGTTTCCTTTCCCCGCAAATCCAAAACTTATCTATTGGGCTACTTCTCATTCAGAAATATCTTCTAGTTTAACTTTCTCCTCTTTATTTTCATTAACTTAATTCTTATTCATCATTTCTCATTTAGACTGTTTTAATAAACTTCAACACAGATTTCCTACTACAAAAATTTCTCTACTTCCTCCCTTAAGAGAAAAAAAAGTTGAAAAGATGCTTAAAATCTCATCAGTTTTACCACTCCATTCATGATAATATTCAACTCCTTAGCTTGGTAGGGCCTTTTGCCACCTTTGCCCTGCTTGACTTTCTAAAGTTCACATCCATATGATTTCTGTTGTGCTAAAAGGTCATACCATTCTGCATAGATCACACATTCTTTAAAACACAGTATCTATGTTGAGGATACATCTTTTTTCTTGTAAGACCTTCTCCACAATTTCAGGAAAATATGCTTTTATCTTTTGAAGATTCAGCCACCTGTCAGCTCCTTAGTGAAGCAATGAAACATATATTGCTTTTGAGTCCAACAAACCTAGCTTTGTTTGCTACTTGCTCTCCTACTCCCTCTGAATCCTTACGCAGAGCTGAATTGAACTATCCTTATATATGAAATGGGGAATGTTATTGGAGGAGTAAATCAAAAAATAAGTATAACTGGCTTAGAAAAGAATCTGAAAGCTAGGGAACACTTAATAAAAACTAGTTAGTAGTAGTGGCTGTGGTAGTAGCAGTTAAAGTAGTAATAGTCAAAATAGACTACTCCAGGAAGAGTTTACAACTCTTTCTTTTATGATGCAAGGACATTTTGCTTATATCTCAGAATTGCCTTTAAAAGTGATGCTTTTTGTTTCTCATCTATGTCATCATCTCCCAACAAATAGTAATTGTCTTTTGAGGATGACGAGCTTAAATGTTTTATTTATTTTTGTCCCCACCTAGCACAGGACCAACACAACATATTTGCTGACTAAATGTGTGTATGAATCACAAAGAAGGCATTCTCTTCATTTAGCAGTAAAAGTAGAGAAAAATATGTAAATTAAGAAAAGTTTATTTTAATCTGCTATAAATCTATAAATTACTCATTTACAATGACAATGAAAACTTGCTTCATAAAATTATGGGCCAAACAATATTTCCTTATCTATTATCTCATTTGATTGTCACACAACCCTCTGAAGTATTATTAAATGCATTTTTTCAGTTAAGGAAACTGCAAATATAGGGCTTAAGTCATTTGCTAAGCTGATAGGAAATAACTGATGAATAATTTGTAATAAAGCATAGAGAGTTTTTTATTATATAATATGAATTAGGTCCCTATCTATAATAACGTATGTATTCACTCACTCTTTTTTTCAGTTATTTATTGTATTTATTGGGTATTTTTTTCAAGCATTTTGCTATGTGCCGAAATCAGTGAATGAGGTATACAGTGGGCCTGGCCTACTGTAACTTTCAGATCAGAAGTTTGTGGTTAAACTATAGCAAAAAGTCATAGCAGGAATTAAACACTAGTAACAATGTGATAGCAGGGCATAAACAGTGAGTAACAGTGCTCCACTTAGGGTAAGGCTTTATAAGGTTTTAGCATGAAATCCAAAAGACAAATAAAGACAAAGGAAATGAGAATGACCTGATTTTGAAGGCTTATTAATTTTTTAACACCTTAAGAGCAGCCTGCATGTTTTATCTCGTTATATCTTTTGAAATTTCAATAAAACCTCAATGTAATGAGGAAACTGAAATCCAGTGATCTAAATCATTTGTCCTATATAGCAAAATGACAAATAAAATATCCAAGCATGAAACTTAATTCTATCTGATTTTGAAAGATCATACCTTTTCAAACTTTCTACTGATCCCATAGCCTTGCTTCTGCCTTGACTTCAGCTTCTATCCAGCAAGAGCAAACATCCTCCAAAACACAACTCTTTTTACTTTCAACACTGCCTCCCTCTACTTTCAACTCTGCACTTATGGATGATATTTCCAGGAGCATCATGAGGTAGGTGAAGCAGTCACCCTCAGAGACGTTATTTGCGAGGAGATGGAGAGATATATGCCAGACACTTCACTTGGGAGAGTGAAAAACTCTACATAACGCTTGGAAAAACTAACATTGAGTCATGGAGACCACTGAGCTTTCAACCTCTAGTTTTCTAACAGATTTGTTCCCATCTGCGTGCATGCAGGATTGTGTTGATGTCCACAGCACATCTCCACTCTATTTGTGGTACCTCACTCTTGATAAGACTCCCAGAAACCTTTTGGAATATATTCTCCTGACTGAGGCCCCAAACTAGCATTTGAATTTCTCTCTTTTTTATGAAAAATAGTTATCATGGGCTCAATTTCTCTAGTGATGTACAAAATGTGCAGAAGTATAAGTGAATGAAGGAGATACTACCCATCTTTCCTCCAAACAATTTGTTTTTACATGGTGTGTATCACCCAGTTTCATCTCACATAGATACTCATGCACTTATGGATGACATTTGTATAGCATTCAACACCTTAAAATTGTTTTTATATATACTTCATAATCAATTTTCATAACAATACAAAGAGATGTTATTCTCATTCATAAGTTACACATGACAAACCTTTGATTCTACAGTGAGCCATAATTTGCAAATAAATACTAAGCAATAGAACCAATCTTACAATGCATGCTTTTTGTTTTTATATGGTTCTATAGATTTCCTCATAACTCAAAACTTTCTTGTTCTTTAAAAAATAAAAAAGAACAAAATGAGTACATTTTAAATATTACTATTATTTCTGTAAGTCTATGCATTTTTCTAATTTGAATGTATCTTAAAAACCACCATAGATTTTGGTGATTTTAGAGTTGACAAAATATAATGACTCAGGAATGTTGATTGGCTTAAAAAGTTTCTATCCTAGCAACAGTTACAAAAAGTAAAAGCAATTAGGCATCACTGTCTTCCTGACTTCAAGTGATATCAAATATGTCTCTGAAATAACTTCAGATTTCACCAAAATTCACCAGTGGTAGGGATTCTGTCATTATAAATTAGTTTACCATTCACTAAAACATATATATATATTTGTATATCAAAAATATATAATTTACATGTCATATATAGATTTACATGTCATATGTATGTCTATATGTATGTGTGTGTGTGTATATATATATATTTTTTTACATGTCAAAATCCACTGGCAGTCTCTTCCACCTTACATTTAATTATTTTCTACCAGCTTCATTAAGGGCAATAAGTAAGTGCTTTAGAGATCTTCTCTAGTTTTTCTCTATTTTGGAACCTAATGCTTGGTGAATACTAGGTACTAAAATAAATGCCTACCATTTTGAGTTGAAATGAAACATTTTTCCAAATTTCAATTAGATTCTATATAGACAATTAAGTTCTATTAATAATATTACCTAATTTAAATCTGAATTCAATTCAATTAATTCTCCAAATTTTAACAAAATTATTTTGCCTCATTTTTCCTGACACATATATGCACACATAACAAAATTTAATACTCAAGATACATTTCTGATAATTATGTTTATTATATTATATCATCCAGATAGGTAGAATGACTGACCACAGATAGGTAAGTACATTGATAAAATTGAAGAATAAAAATATGCCTGACTCCAAAGTCTCTTGTCTACTCCAAAGGCATTTTCAGAGAACAGTTGAATCATTAAGAACAATAAAACTTTAAAGTAGCAAAATAATTTGCCTCTATTTACTACAGTTTAATGTATGAACAGAAAACTGTGATTTTGGAATCTCAGAACATCTTTCTTTTCATTGTCTTAGATGGTTCACAAGAAACTATAAGAGAATACTAATGTGAGGCTCCTCTTTTTACTAGATAGGCAGTGTGCAACAAAATTATGTTTCTCTATGTATATCTAAAATACTTTAGTTTTTAGTTTTCTCGATCAATTGCCCTATCAGTGAAGTCAGTACATTAGAAGTCTTCTCTAGTTTCTCTATGATTACTATTTGTGTGACCACTATGTTCAAATAGAAAAGAGATAAAGAATCAAAATAAATTATAACGATTATAGAAGGGCTTACATTTTGGCTGCAATAACAAAGTATCACAACAAATGTTTGACAAAAATACATACAATTAAGTACCAAATTATGTGTCACTTGCTCATTATTACTGTAGACTGAGCCAGCTGAAGTTTAGTATGGATGTGAGTTGCAAGATAAGGGCATAAACATTTTGTGCCAGTGTAATGTTAGTAGCTCAGTCATTTTCTAAAGTGATTCATAAATTCTGCTACAAAACAACTTGATATTCCATTCTCTCCAACTTGCACACACATGATCTCATAACTGTAACAGTTTTTGTCTTTCTTTAGCAAGAAAACCCCAAATCAATGATAGACTAATAACTTCAAATATTTTTCTTGATTGCAGCCAGAAACTATTTTGAACCAAAGTATAGATTTGAGAGATGCGATAAAGTGAGAGGAATATGTAAAACGTTTTGTGATGATGTTGAATATGATTATGGATACTGCATTAAATGGAGAAGTCAGTGCTGCGTATAAACTCGGAAAAGAAGTACTATTGAGGATCAAGTCTGGAACAGAGATGCATGTTTTTCACTCAAGAGTAGGTAAAAAAAAAATGTTTGCAACATTTAATGAAAATACACACTTTTAAATTCTAAATATATCTATTTACATACAAAGAATTTAGTCTCTGCTTATTCATTGGGGATTTTTGTATGTCAAACTGATGAACACATTAGCAAAACAAGGAAACAGACTCTAATTATGCTTATAATCTCATTATTTCCACTTTGACTCTCAGACATTCATATTACTTATCTGAGTTACTCTGCTCCCTCTCTAAATATGTGTATGTGACCTTATTGCCAGGTTTGCTATGAGGATTATGGTTATCTTCATATATCCTGGTTTGCACACCAAAATCCCTCTAAGCCATCTACTCTTCTTTCACAGAAAATGTGTTTCTTCCCTTACAAATATGACAGCTACCAATTTTGACCTGTCTGATGTGTTTTTGCATACATTTAACAATACTATGCTTTTGAAATGATACAATTTAACACTGCTCTCTCTGTAGGGTAATTAAGCACTATTCATAGCACGGCAAAAGGATAAATAACAAGATCTGAGATACAGAGCCCCTTTTAGCCGCGTGATTCTTTTTTCAAAGAAAATCTCATAAAGAATCTCAGGAATAGGTACCTTTGTTTCAGCAGGGTAGAGCTGGTGTCTGGCCAACTCAATTTTATACCCTCAGAGAATGTGTCTAATGAAGGAAATTTCAATTTGGTTGAGGCAAGAGTTAGAATCCCATAACTACGGACAGTTTTGTGTAACAAAGCTCAGTTAGCTGATGAGTAAACCTGACTCATAACTTAGAATAACTCCTGTTTCTAAGATCCATCATGAAATCTAGCTGAGTTAGTTTTGCCTAAGAGGATACTGGTAGACATATTTGTAGGAGGGCTGTGCAGCTGATGTTCATATGGAAAACCTGGGAAATGTTACAGTAATCCTAGGAACGATGAAGACACAGGAAAAGCAGAGACTGTGTAGTAGCAAAAATGAGGACTTTCTTGGATGCCATAGGGACAATATTATTTACCCCAAAAATCCTCACTAAGGAAGGATGGCTTTTTTGTTTCCAGCAGTAGTGCTGTGGAGGTCAGAGATGGGGTGATGTTATTTAGTTTAACAGATATGACATGCACCATGTGCTTATAATTGACTAGGTTACTGTAACTGAAATATTTAAGTTATTTTTAAACACAGATTTAGAGATATAAGGTTCCATCTAATCAAGGCAAGCAATAAATGTCTGGATAGACAGCTCTACAGAAAAATCTTACTGTTTTTGTGAAAGTACAATAATCTTTCTTACTACTTACCCTTTGATGATAACACTATTTAACCAAGCATAAAACTCTTTTTATTCTTAATAAGTCCCAAAGAGGCAAAACTTTTCAGTTCCCTCATTTCAACACCTTACATGTGAAGAAATGTCTTTTAATGCCTTTCTACTAATAAATTTTCTATCGTGAAGATTCTTCTTTTTATTTTCTTTTTTCAAAAATTATGTTCTGGCCAGGCACGATGGCTCATGCCTGTAATCCCAGCACTTTGGGAGGTCGAGGCGGTGGATCACGAGGTCAGGAGATCGAGACAATCCTGGCTAAACGGTGAAACCCCGTCTCTACTGAAAATAAAAAAAAATATATCCGGGAGTGGTGGCAGGCACCTGTAGTCCCAACTACTCGGGGAGGCTGAGGCAGGAGAATGGCATGAACCCGAGAGGCGGAGTTTCAGTGAGCCGAGATCGCTCCACTGCACTCCAGCCTCTGTGACAGAGGGAGACTCTGTCTCAAAAAAAATAAATAAATAAAATAAATAAATAAATAAATGTATATAAATGGTCTCTTTTAAGATCAGAATTTCACCAGGTGATATAAACTTTTATGCAGGGATATTTGTATTGCTGAATTAGAGAAGGAATCACTGGTTTATTTCTTGACAAAATAATGATAATGCTCTAGGTATTAAAAGATCATTGCATTAATTACATCACTATTATTTAGTTACAGTTATTTAGATTCTAATCTTGTTGACACTGTAAAGTGTTGGAGAAAATATTTGAATATAGTTTTCAGCACCAAAAACTTACCTATGGTAATAGTGTGTAGCTAGAGTAAGGATTGTTTACCTTTTCCTTATCTTCAGCCTATTGTCAGTGAACTAATTTCCATTAAGAAAAATACTACCTTATTATTCTCTTCCGGGTACTACCAGAATATCACATCCATTGACCTTTCTTTGAGTACAACTTGTACTACCCTTCCAACTATAAGGGAACTTGAATATAGAATGTAATAGCTAATAGCTTGCAAGCTTACGTAAGAGCTATCTTTTAGTGAGATTTCTTTTTTTCTTCTTTCTTTTTTTTATTTTTTATTTTTTATTTTTTTTTATTTTTGAGATGGAGTCTCGCTCTATCGCCCAGGTTCGAGTACAGTGGTGCAATCTCAGCTCACTGCAGCCTCCACCTCCTGGGTTCAAGCAATTGTCCTGCCTCAGCCTCCCAGGTATTTGGGACTACAGGCACCCGCCATCATGCTTAGCTAATTTTTGTGTTTTTAGTAGAGATGGGATTTCACCATGTTGGCCAGGATGGTCTCGATCTCTTGACCTCGTGATCTGCCCGCCTCAGCCTCCCAAAGTGCTGGGATTACAGGAGTGTTCCCGGCTCCTGGCTGAGATTTCTTTACCTAAGAAATATGTCATCAAATCAATTATATTGTCAGATATCCTGAATTAATGCCTAAGTACTGATTATCTGAAAATAAATAGAAGTGTTGAAGTAATTTTTATTTCAATTTTTGCTGGAATTGATGACTCATACTTTCTAATGTGTTCCCTGATATACCACTAGCTCCTTGAAAAATCCCGGGCACATGGCATACACTCAGTAGATAACTGTTAAATAAATGTTGCCCAGAGATGTATTGATTTGGCTTTTCCAGCTGTTCCTGAATTCTCTTTTTCTTTATCAGCAAAAATGTGATTCAAAATTGATTCAATTTCCTCACCTTTGCTTAAATCTTTCCTTTTTTCATTTTATTATATTTCATTTTATTTTATTTTCATTTTTATTATCTCTTAAAATCTCATTTTTTTCATTTTTATTCTTTTATATCAAATTAAAGATTTGTGGTTAAAAAAATAGGCACGTTATTTCATCACTTGGGATCTCGTTTTTTAACCTGTAACATGAAAGAATTGGATTGGATTTTCTATGCATCTTCTTATATTTATCTATGACTCTGTATAGCAGGGATCAAAAAAACTATAGCTCATGGACAGAATTTGGCCCTTCTTTCATATTTCCTGCGAATTAAGAATTGTATTTACAGATAAACATTTATAACTGATTTGATAAGATGACATCATCTTATCATCAATCTTTGCTTGATGAACCTCAGTCAAAATGTTGAATAAGAATTCTTCTCATTAGTTGATCTGTATTCAAAAAGATAATGTGCACCATCATTATTAAAATATATTATTTTTATGTCAATTGAAAATTTGTGGAAATTCGTTTTCTCTCATTTATTTAAGTCTCTAAATAATATCCTCAGTTTTTCTTTTTTTACTTTTTTAAATTTTTTTTTAATTTTTCCATAAGTTATTGGGGTACAGGTGGTATTTGGTTATATGAGTAAGTTCTTTAGTCATGATTTGTGAGATTTTGGTGCACCGTTCACCCGAGCAGTATACATTGCACCATATTTGTTGTGTTTTATCCCTTGCTCCCTTCCCATTCTTCCCCCAAATCACCAAAGTCCATTGTACCATTCTTATGCCTTTACTTCCTCGTAACTTAGCTCCCGCATATCGGTGAGAACATAGGAGTTTGGTTTTCCATTCCTGAGTTACTTCACTTAGAGTACTTAGTCTCCAGTCTCATCCAGGTCACTGCAAATGCTGTTAATTCATTCTTTTTTATGGCTGCATAGTATTCCATCATATGTGTATATATATTTATATATATGTATGTGTGTATATATATAAATATATATGCACATATATGAAACTATGGTGTATATATGTATGTGTGTGTATATATATATTAAAATATATATACACACACATATATGTGTATATATACACACACACAGAGACATATATACACACACACACACACACACACACCCCCCATAGTTTCTTTATCCACTCGTTGATTGATGGGCATTTGGGTTGGTTCCACAATTTTGCAATTGTGAATTTTGCTGCTATAAACGTGCATGTGCAAGTATCTTTTTCGAATAATGACCTCTTTTCCTCGGGGTAGATACCCAGTAGTGGGATTGCTGAATCAAATGGTAGTTCTACTTTTAGTTCTTTAAGGAAATCTCTACACTGTTTTCTACAGTGGTTATATTAGTTTACATTCCTACCAGCATTGTAGAAGTGTTCCCTGTTCACTACATCCATACCTACATCTAGAAGCTGTTTTTTGATTTTTTGATTATGGCCATTTTTGCAGGAGTAAGGTGGTATCACATTGTGGCTTTAATTTGCATTCCCCTGATAATTAGTGATGTTGAGCATTTTTCCAAATGTTTGGTGACCATTTGTTTATCTTCTTTTGAGAATTGTCTATTCATGTCCTTAGCCCAGTTTTTGATGTGATTGTTTTTTTCTTACCAATGTGTTTGAGTTAGTTGTAGATTCTGGATATTAGTTCTTTGTCAGATGTATAGATTATGAAGATTTTCTCTTTACTCTGCTGAAGGTTCCTTTTGCTGTCCAAAAGCTCTTTGGTTTAATTAGGTCCCAGCTAATTACCTTTGTTTTTGTCGCATATGCTTTTGGGTTCTTGGTAATGAAATCTTTGCCTAAGCAAATGTCTAGAAGGATTTTTCCAATGTTATCTTCTAGATTTTTTTTTTTTTTTTTTTTTTTTTTTGAGACAGAGTCTTGCCCTGTCTTTCAGGCTGGAGTGCAGTATTGTGATCTCAGCATACTGCAACCTCCACCTCCTGGGTTCAAGAAATTCTCCTGCCTAAACCTCCCGAGTAGCTGGGATTACAGGTGCATGCCACCGTGCCCGACTAATTTTTGTATTTTTAGTAGAGATGGAGTTTCACCATGTTGGCCAGTTGGTCTCAAACTCCTGACCTCAGATGGTCCCAAAGTGCTGGGATTACAGGTGTGAGCCACTGCGCCTGGCCATCTTCTAGAATTTTTATAATTTCAGGTCTTAGGTTTAAGTCTTTCATCCATCTTTAGTTGATTTTTGTATAAGGTAAGAGATGGGAGTCCAGTTTCAGTCTCCTACACGAGGCTAGCCAATTATCCCAGCACCATTTGTTGAAAAGGGTGTGCTTTCCCCACTTGATGTTTTTGTTTACTTTGTCGAAGATCAGTTGTCTGTAAATATTTGAGTTTATTTCTGATTCTCTATTCTGTTCCATTGGTCTATGTGTCTATTTTCAGTTTTTCATCTTGGGCAGCAAACCTGAAACAATTGCCCTTTAGAGAAAATGTTTGCTAACCCCTATGTAGATAGAGTCAGTCAAACAGCAAAGTGTAATTCATGAAGCAGCAGTCTTAGCATTACCTGAGAACTTGGTAGAAATGCACATGGTAGGGCTCAGATTCATCGAGTCAAAAACTCTGGAGATGAGTCCCAACAATCTATGTTTAGCCTATTCTTCAATTTACTAAAATGCACAGAAGAGTTTGCTAACCATTGCCTAGAAATACTTTTAACCTTTGAAATTTTCAATGTTTATGGTTGTTTAATTTTTTACCGAACTTGGGCCAAACTGTTAGCACCTCCTTGACATTACTGACAAAATATACTCAAACAGTAGAAGAAAGATGCCAAGTCACATGACCCTTTCTTTGGAAAGGATACATACAAAAGAAAAAAATGTTAAAAGATACTTTTAGATAAAGCAATTAGAACTCTTCCTGCATATTATATTTCATCAATTGGTGTTCTTTGGTCTAAATTAATAAAAATTAACTCAACCATATGTGTCTTTTTGTCTACTTCCTCAGTGGTTATTTCTCAGCTTCTAATATTCTGAAATACAAAAATTCAAGTTCAAAATTCAGAAATAAAAGTTTATTTTTATCTTACATGTTTATAATTTGTGTATGGAAATTTCCACAAAAATAGTAACAGCATTTCTGTTCTCCTTCCCTCTCTCTGGAATTTTAACTGTTCAAAAGGACATGTTCTAATAACCACTTTTCTTAAAGCCTAACACATTCTTTGGACAGGATATTGTCGTGTTGTATTGACAACACAGTCCTAATTTTTAGCAGCCTCCAAGATTGATATAATGCTCCACTGAAGGATATGACCAAGACAACCTAATGCTCCTTCAGCTTTCAGTAAATTTTAGACAGGTTTCTTCCTGACTGTAGATTCTCTGACCTCACTTTTCTTAATTGCA